AAATGGGGGACCAAAATGAACAAGGGAGAGAACTGGAGTGACTGCGCTCGTGATTTGACCCTAGAAGCCCTAAACACACTACTTGATGCCAAAACTATGTCGTTTCACAGGGGTTTGGGCAAACGCCAAAACGGTGTCGTTTTGATTCGTTTATAAATACCCCTTTTTTTCTTTCATTTTCTCATCTTCTCTCTCTCTCTTCCCTATCAATCCTCCCCCTTATCTCTTCACTTATCCAGAAACCAGCGACGAGCACTGTTGTCGACAGTCGCGCCTATCGCCACCGACTGTCGTTAGCCACTAAGCTTTCAGGGTTTATTTGTTTCGATGCAGTGGTCTCAGATCGGGGCTCAGATTCACGTGGAATGGCCCCAACGCTATGAAACAAGGTCGAGACCCTTCGGCTTCCAATGCTCCGATCTACCTTCTCCGCCGTTGGATCGATCTAATATTGAAGTATGACGTTCCCCTCCTCCAAATGTTCCTCTTCACTATTCGGATTGGACAGCGGGGCTCTTATCGCCGACGAGGCTCCGACCGAAAGTAAAAGCTTCCTTTCTTTTATTTTTCTTTTTTAGTTTGTAAAGTTATTTCAAAAAGAATATATATATATATATATATATAACTGTTTTTATTGCTTCCGAAAAAATGGAGGAGCCCCGCTTACAGTGTTGTTTGGTTGGGTTATATACCCATTACAACTGTCAGAAATAGAAATAAATTCTTTGCTGCTGTGGTTACATTGTGTGGAGTGTTGGATGGCAGGGAATGATCGGCATGGGCTGTTGCAACTGGTTGGTGGCGTGCATGACAGACAGGTTGGCAATCAGCTTCAACAGTGAGTGGCAGGATATGGCTTCTTACCTTTTAAATTAATTAATTAATATATTTTTAGGATAAAATTGGTGATTACACTTATAATCAATTAGATTGATAAAAAAAACTTACGCATATAAACATCAATTACAACGAGAACTTGACTTTGTCAAAATGCCAAGAAGATGGCAGCTACTTCGCACGTGCAAATTAAACGTATTCACATGAATCATCATCCCCGCACGTGCCAAAAGTTATCTCAATTCTGAAGCAAGGATCCGGGGTTTTCTCCACTGTCATAACCTGATCGAATTCCGATGGTTATGTTAGGAGTGTAATCTTTTCCTCTCCATTTAGATTAATTACACGAATAATCACTTATATTTTTTATGTTTTATCTACTTTTAATCATTGATTTTAAAATATATAAGATGTGATCACTTTCATTTTTATTTAAATAAGATATAGTCACTTATATTTTTACTTATTTAATACATGATCACCACAGGTTAATTACCGTTAACATATTAAGTGACGTGATATTTTGATATAATCACATATTTTGTCCTTATTATTTACATATTCTCTCAATTTAGTCATACTTTTAATAAATTAAACTAAATTTAATCATTCAATCGAATGATGTTACGTGTCACTGGTGCCATTTGTTGTGCCACGTGTCACCATTTGGTTAGAGACTAATTTTATTTTAACTTAATATATGTATTTTCCACCAATTTGCTTTGCTTTGTTAAATTAAAATAAGGCTTAAGGGTCACATGTGCTCTTGTAGTAGACCAAAGCTATCAATTTCTCCCTTAGCGTATTTTCACATCAATTTTGCCCTTGAAGTTATTTAATTGCATCAATTTATACCTTTGACCATGTTGACTAACAGAACCATTAATCGTTGTTTACGTGGACACCAGCTGTTCCACCTAAGATAATTTTGTTGAAGTGTCAACATGATGACGTGATAGTAATAATTTTTTTTAAGAAAACGATAAAAAAATAATTTTGCATATGGACTACAACATTCCAGCTATGTCTCCTTTGTTGAATGGAAGCAATGACCGCAACATACTCACCAACCTCCCCAATCTCAAGCAGATGATGACAAAGTAAATCGGTCATGGCATTGACGGCGGCGAATTCCCCGCATAACCAATGGATAAACCCATCATCCTCATCAGGGGAACATTGGTGCTGTTGTTGGATTTCTCCTCCGAAGGCAGCAGCTCCGTCGCCTCCGGTAACTCCAACAGCATCAGCTCCAGCTGGAAGTTTGAAAACTGCATTTTATCATATAAAATTATGTTTCCTGATTGCATTACAATTGAGATAAACTCTACTAACCAATCCAAGAAATTATCTAAACTAATAAAACAACGTATATAAATTAAAAAATCACAAAACAAAATTCTTATGGCTCAAAACAATTCAAGGATTTGCAATGAGAAAAAATATGGGTAATAAAGGAACAAAGTAACAAACAGAAAAGCAAAAATAATAAGCCTAAAATCAACACAAGTCAAAACAAGAAGAAGAGAAAATAAAAAGGTCGACAGGGTGAGTTTGACATTTTCCGACAATCTAGACGTCGGTTGGAAGATCTGTACGGTGGAAAGGTTGAAATGGCAACAAGGAGCAACATAATGTGAAGATGGCTCCATCGGATAGTTACTGGCAACGAAATTAAGTATTTTGTTTCGAATAAATTGATTGATTTTTGTTATACCTATGATGATCGGTGATGTATTTAAGTAATCGAAGGTCGGATTCATGACGAGGAGCACAAGATGATTTTGTTGATGTATTTTGCGTACCAAACGGTGATCGACGACTACAACCAACATGGTGGTCACGACAGTCAAAGGTAGCTGATTAATGATCAATGAAGCAACCATACCTGAGAGTGGAGAGCACAGGTGAAAGACTTAGAGAAGAAAGGAAATAAAGTGAAAAAAAAATATGGGGGGAGGAAACTTAAAATGGTGATATATATTTGCTTTTAAAACTACGTAGTTTTAGGGTGGTAGAAGAAGAAAAGGAGAAATCACAATTTCAATCCTCTGACGTGAAAACGGTTGACGTCCACCTAAGCAGAAATTAACAGTTTTGTTAGTTAAAACGGTCAAATGTATAAATTGATGCAATTAAACAACTTTGAGGACAAAATTGATGCGAAAATACGATAAGGACAAAATTGATAAATTTGGTTTACTACAATGGCAACTGTGACTCTTAAGCCTTAAAAGTAGAGTAAATTAAAATAAAGTTGGTCTTCTAATCGAATGATAACACATGACACGAGATGTGGTATCAATGACATGTGACATCATTCGATTGGAGGATTAAATTTATTTTAATTTATTAAAAATATGACTACAATGAGAGAATATGTAAATAACATAGACCAAATGTGTGATTATACCAAAATATTTAACGGTAATTAACTCTTAATAATCGTATTTTAATTAAAAAAAATAAATATGACCGTATCTTATGTGTTTTAAAATCAATAACTTTTCATGTCCACTTAGATTTATTTATGGAGTATAATAGCACTTCACTTGATCAAAAGAAAAACAATCTGATTCCGAGTCCCAAAAAAGCATCGGGGCAGCTCCTCGAGATGAGAATCATAGAGTTAAGCCCGGGAGTTTGTTTCTCGTAAAAAAAATTAATAGTAATTGAAGTAAAATTAGCGTGGCGGGTGCCCTAACCCTAACCTTGAGAGATAATGAAGGGAAATGAAGACACGTACGTTGAAATTTGGCCTCAATTTCAGAAGCTTTCCTGGATTTATAACCAACCAGAAACATATGAAAAAACTAGAGGGCCGGTATTGTCAATAAAGAAACATTAAAAATCTAAACTTCCCCTCCCCCCTCCCACCCCCCCCTTTTTTTTCCGGATAGAGGTAAGCTTAACAACAATGGCGATAACACTTCCAACACCTACTCCTCTCTCTTCCACTTCTTTCTTCAACGCCCAAAATCATCCCAAGCTTTTCTCCGTTGCTTCAACTTCAACTTCCATCAAACCCAACCTCAAAACCTTCAAAATCAAAGCTATCAAAGAAAAAACTGAAGAAATTAAAGCCCCTACTTCATCATATGCGGATGAAGTTACAAAGAAGTAAGGCCTTGAAGTTGGGTTATGGAAGGTACGTATTTCTACTCCTCCTCCTCATTACTTATGCTTAATTTCGTAGGCTTGATTGCTAAGAAACCTCAACCACACAAATTCAGCTTGGTAGCCAACTGTTTGCAGAGCCTCTCATTAACATGTGGTGCCTGGTAGATTAAAGAAAGATGTTATTTTTTGGGGTTTTGTGAATGAGAAGCTAACTTCTTTTCTGTGATTCGTGTATTTTTGTGAACTTTACCTCAAGATATTCAGCTCAAAGGAAGAAGGGGAAGAGAAGAAATCAAAGGGGGATCAAGCGAAAGAGCTTCTAGCCAAATATGGAGGAGCCTACTTGGCAACCTCTATTACCCTCTCCTTGATATCCTTCTCCCTTTGTTATGTACTCATCAATGCAGGCGTTGATGTTCAAGCACTGCTGCAAAAGGTAAAACAAAATCCATCATATGAGCAAATTCTCCTTAATGCTTCATTTCATAACTTGTGATGATGAAAGGTTTCAGAGGACTAACCATTAGATGGGACTTTTAGGTGGGAATCTCAACTGATGCGACCGGAGAGAAAGTCGGGACCTTTGCTTTAGCATATGCTGCACACAAAGCTGCATCTCCTATAAGGTTTCCTCCAACCGTGGCTCTCACTCCTATTGTCGCGAGTTGGATCGGAAAGAAGGTTGAAAAAGATGATTGAGTTTTGGGGGTACTACCAAATTCAATGTCCATCTCATAATATTTAAGTGTACAGGTAAAACATATCTTCTCTTTTGTTGTTTCCCTTGGAGATTTAAGAGTTTTTTGAAGCTCCAAAATGATTTTGGTTGATTTCAGTGTGCTAGCAATCGGGTTAATTGCAAGAACAACACCGATTTGTTGGAAATAAGACATAAGATTGTTATCATGTAAGAGTTTCAACCTATATACAACTTCAGCATCAAAATACCAATCTACAAGTTCTGCAAATGATAAACAGATCAAAGAATTGAATCCTTTTAACTTGTCAGTCATCGGAGTCTGGTCTAAGACAATATGAATCAAAGGTATTATGTGATGCAATGCATTGCAGCCAGCGTCAGCTTGCATATTTCAGGTATGCAGAGGTGGAAAATCTTCTCAGAAACAAGCTTGCTCTGCACTGAATATTGATTACATCTTTATTTCATCAAGATTTTCTCAATACAGAAAAAAACAAGGTACAGAAGATCAGTTGTTTGTCACCTCATGATGTCTATATGAGCTATGCTAGTCAATCTGACAAGAGGATCTGGTTGATGCAATAAAAGCAAAATAGAATGGAGTAATATACTGAGACTTGTATAAAATATGACCTTATTACTACCAAGATCACGTGGATCATTTGTATTTTACTCCTGTACAGTGATTGTGATACCTACTACATGTTCTTTGATTCCTCCTTTGAGGAACTTTAAGTAGCCAACTTTTTGCGAACATTCACGCCAATGTCCAAAGTATCAGATATGCTCTCGACATAAAACAAGTTGAGGAAACTTCATTTTCACATATGCAAACATGCTTGTCACTTCCCGGTTGAGTTAGCAAAATGCACTTCAGTTACATTTGATGGAGGCGTTTGTGGACATGGTGAGCTAACAGCAGCCATGCCATGGTCCTCGTTTAGCGAATCAAACTTGTTCCACTCGATCAAAGCTATAGCCAAGAGTCACGGAATAAAAACAATAAGAGGAAAAATAGCATTAATCCGAACACATCAGAGTAGAGGATACATTCGATCCGCCAAAGTCCTGTGAGGCATTAAGATCTGAGCACATTTTACTAGTGTCCTGCCTCTTCATTTCAATGTCTTTCCCTCTGCTCTCTTCCGGCACCATTGTTGTTACAGGGTTCTCATTAAAGCCTGAAGTTGATGGAAAGTTTGGAGGTGGATCCACTCCTTGTATCTCTTCAAGTTTCTCCTCAAATTGGCTATAATATCACAGAGAGAGAGAGAGAGAGAGAGAGAATCATCAAGAAAGTTGACATTTTAATGCTTGGATGGACATTTGTCTTTGTCACAAAGCATTTACCATGCCACAAAAAAAAGAGAAATTTCAATGTTAGGATATCATCTTTTAACCAATAAGAAGCAGTGGTACCTGACAAGGTAAACATCTATAGGACCCATTGAGCTTCTAAGGACAATCCTGTACCTCCTTTGGGGATAATCAGCAGCCTATTATTAAGGAGAACGTTGCTATTAAGATTGAAAATAAAAACATATAACACATGTTAGATTCTTCAAGCTTTTGAGATTACCTCACCAGGATCAGGGACTTCCAGAGTGGTTCCATGTGGAGCTTTAATAGCTATTAGCGTTTCATTCTAAACAAGGCAAATTAACAACAGAAAGAAGAAAGCATCCCCAGCGTTAACAGATCTAGATGACTTCACAATTACTGAACCAAAAACATTAATATATAGTGTTTGAGCAATGAACAAACCTGGAAGCAGGGTAAGCTCTTGATATCTTCCTCAGTCACAAAAAGCCATCTGATATGGGAAAAGATGAAACGATTTAAGTTGATCAGCTGAGATTACGGAAAAAGTGTAAAAGTAGTAACATCTTGAGTAGGAAGTGAAAGTTTACTTTTGATTATTTTCATCTTCACTAAGGTTCCTCAATCTTTCTTGCATTTCTCTATACAATTAAAAGAAATGTAAATAACAATCCGGAGGATGAAATGGATTGAAGAGAGACACAGAAGGAGACCATAGCAGCTTAACGTGATTTTTTCATCTAATCTGTGTTCCTCAAAACAAAGGTTCTCAATCTCTGCCTACAAATGTTACCATTATGAAGTTTTCAATACAAACTTGGCCGATGATAAACCAAAAAGAAAAAAGAAAAACATTGATCCATCATTGCCAAGTATAGTACTTATTAACAATAAAACTTAGCTAAACTGAACTCAACAAAGTATCATCATTTGTGCTTAGAACATTCAATTAACATGCCTGTAACTTCCGAGCTAAAATTAGAGGCCAACAAAGACAAAGGTCGAAAAGATGATGTGGCTTTTGACACAACTCTAGGTCTGAAAAGCTGTAAAGAATATTCCCAGTATCCTAAGGAGCCATTGGGGGATCCACACTTATACATCAGATTGGTTTTACCATAAATGAATATATAGTCTTTTTCAAATTTCAACCAGCACAACACTTTCATCATTTGAGATGGAAATACAACCATGTTGAATGAACACAGTCAAAACTGCAATAAAATAATCCAGAGAGAAACACAAAATCAACTATTATTACATGTACATGCACCTGATTAGGAGGAAAAGACGGTAAAACTAGATTAATTTTCTATCAAGTACAAACACTAAATAACAAATCATAACAGCTGAAGCGTAATCCATACATGGATCTGCATCTTGATTAACAATTTGTCAAAAATTATAAAAAGCATACCTGCAAAGTGGCAACATTCTCATCAACTTCGCCAGGCCTTGAGACATCAAGCCCCCCGATTTAAATAAAAGGTTTGAGTGCTTTCCTAAGCAGAAAATCAATCAGAGCCAAAAAGGGTTTTGAGAATAAAATATGTAACTCGTACTTCCACTGAACTTTGTTCTTTATTTTCTTTTCTATGAGACCAATTCCTTCAAGAACATTGGTTAAGTCATATATCCTCCTCTTTTGCACCTTTAGGAATAGAAAACCATCAAGAACTATAATTAATGAATTATATGACCGGATTGTTTACCCAAACAATGAAACGGTTAACTCCAAGGTACCAGCAGCCTTATTTAAATCAAGAATACAATCTTCAGCTTGTTTAATCAAATTGATGAACTTCCTTGTCAAAAGCCCTGGGTTAAATTCAGAGAACATTATGAGTGTCTTACGAATTACTCACTCAATTCCATAAGATGTTTGAAACAATGCCAACAATAATTAGCCAAGTAACATTTAGAATCATTTTGAAGAAGAAGAATAAATACCTAGGGAACTATCATAACGGCAAGGACTTCCAGGAGTGACATTATTGCCAGGAGAACCTGTGAGCTTCAGAAGTTCATCATTATCTACATCAACTTTTATTCCTAATCAGTAGAACTAGGTCAAAAAGTAGAGGTTTGGAAGTAAATTTTGTGGATTTACAATGATCTGTCACTAAATAAGATGTATATCGAAGAATCAAAGACATCACGTTAGCCATATAACTTGCGTACAATACTACTCACCGAGATTTGAAGGAGCCTGAGGACCAGATTTACTGTTTTTTGTTAGCCTTGATGTTTTTTGAGCATTCCCCCCTTTTCCTGATACAGGTGTTTGGAGGGGTCTGCCAACCACCTCAGTGTGCCCTGGAGGCCTGGCCCAGTCACCAGACTCAACTTCTTGATCTGCTACATCACTCTTCCTCTTAAACTAATATGACAATATTTTCACATTGCAATTAGAAAGATAGGACATTCATTTTTGGGGAGAAAATTAAATCAAGAAAGAAATTGTCACACGAAGTAAATAATGTTTTTGGCATGCTAAAAAATTTAATATTGAAACAATAATCTTTTATTAAACAACCAAGCTTCAAGAACTTTTACCACTCACAATACCATCGATCCCGATCAGCATTATAGATTCGTAAACAAAACATACAAATAAATGAAATCATCACAAGTTAAATGGGCTGTTACTTGCCCAAGGGGAAAATCTTCACTTCGGCTCAAACTGGGTTAGTAAGAAGCTGCATTTCATAATGCGCTATTAACGACAGTCAAGACTATACCGGTTTTGTGCTTAATTCTACTTCCGACAAACATCATTTCCGGAACCAGTAGCCTGAAGAAAGCTAATTCTAATGACATAAATCTCTGAATAATCCATGTCAATGACCTGAACTTCCACATTAACACTTATATTAGTATTTGATGTAGTAGAAAGTTTTTCCATTATATTTACTTTATGCTTTGGCCTTGTTTTTGTTCTTAGATCTTTTAATATATTTCCCGACTTTATCTTTCTTTTTTCTTAATTAATAAAACCCTATTCAGTCAAATTAAGCATAATAAACCAAATCAAGACAGTAATTAACCCAACAATAAACCAATTTCGTCAAACCCCGCCAAACTTCCCAATTAAAAAACCCACAGAGAATCCCCATCAACTAAAAACCAAACTTTTTTTCTCCAATAATTCTAAATCCAGCAAATAACGATAAAAAATTCATAAAATTTACTTCATACATTAGATCTCAATTAAATCCCATGGTCAACAACACATTAAATTACAAAGTTTGAAATAGAGGAGAAAAGAAACTACAGGAGACTTGACCACGATGGCATCGAGTTCTTGATCGGCGACGCGGTGAGGCTCAGTCGTAGCAAAGCGGTGATAATCGCCTCCGGGATCCATAAACGATGGCTTTACAGAGAAAGTTAGCTGTGGGTTTTGCGGGTGTTGATTTTGCAGGGGAATTGATTGGTTTAACTGCTCTTGAGATCTAGTGTTTGGCACAATGGGAAATGAAAAAAGCGGGAAGGAGAGAAGTTAACAAATACGAGGGAAAATTAATATAAATAAATTATAAATTCCGTAACTTTATTTGAAAACTGAAATATTATTCGTTTTATTTCCTATTCTACTCAGTGTAATTTAAAACTGATCAATTTCATCACTTAATTTTATACATTTAGCCTTTTTGGCCCCTAAACTTAATAAAATTAGTTTTTGGGTCACTGAGCTGTTACCCCCAACTAGCATAATGCTCACGTCATCTTCCCCATCATCCCTCCTCTCTTACCCACGGAGGAGGTAAGACGCACGATGATAGAGCGACGACGAAGGGACATTATCACCTGGGTTTCGGTCGGAACTTGACAAGGAACTCATTAGTGAAGGCGGTGAGGTGCGAAGAAGACAGAATCGATCAAAAATGGCAAAAATAATAGCGACGTCGTTATGGGCTTTCATAATTTGCAACGTTTTGATGATCGATTTGGGTGGTTAGGGTTTACTCGGGATGTGACATTGAGACTGCTAGTGGCGGCGGTGTAAGCCATCGTTGGTTGAAGACGATGGATCGAAAGGGAGAGAGAGTTCGGGTGAAGAAGAAGAAATAATTAATAAACTAATATTGTTTAATGTCGTTTGTGGGGGAAACGATTGGGTGATCAAATTTGTCAATTATATTACATTCAATGATGAAATTGACAAGTTTTAAAGTACAATGAATAAAATAAAAAATAAAGCAAAGTACAATGATGATCCGTGTAATTTACCCTTTGATTTTTATAATTTTTATAATTTGATAAGTTAATTTAGTTCCAAATTTTAAACTATCTACTATAATATATACAATATACACATATTTTTTCATATATATATATATATATACAAACTTAAAATACACTATTCAAACTTTTACACTAATTTATCAATTATTAAAAAATTTAAGTTACTCAAGTTTTATTTTATAATTCGACTCGAACTTAAAATTTTTCAAATTAAATCAAATTTATGATATTATGAGTCGATTCAAGTTAAGTCAAATCAAATAAAAAAATTAATTTTTTTCAAGTTGCTCATCTCTAATTCAGTTGATTCATAAAATTATATTACAATGCCACGAGGGTACAACCAACAAATAAAAATCGTAGCAATTTCACTTTGGTTTGCATTAAACGTGATTCTATTTCTATACCATATTCATACATCTGTTTGGACGAACGATTTGTATTTCCAACTGTAAAATGATAATGCTATCAGAGAATTACAGAGAGAGGTGAAAGGAGATGAATGTTGTGATTAAGAAGTTAACAATTTACAACAGCAATGTGAATTAAGTTAGCAAAGAGAAAGAAAGCTCACCCTGGAAACAGGTATTTCATGAACTCCATTCGCGGTCCTCGGTCATCGTTCCTTTCATACTCTTTGATAACCAGATGGCCGTCTCCCTTGGGGACACCAGAACTTTGCCGAAAGGCCTCAAAACCACGGAGAGCTTTTGCAATCTGTTTTGCTGCAGTAACTCGGCTGACAATTCAAGAAGCCCTTCAAGTGCCTCTGCCCTTTGCCTATAAGAATTGACATCCAAAGTTTCCTTTGCCGGTGTATTCACGGGATCCAATAACTTGGATTTTGGAGATGAGGTAATGGAGTTCCTAACCTCTTTAACGGCAGGATTATTTGAGACGTCTGGTGTCGAACTTAAAGCTTCATAGCAGCTTGATGCCAGGGTCACTCGCCTAGCCATGGTTCTCATATCGAATTCATCTCTCACAACACCGATGGGTTCTGGAGACGAGGAAATGGAGTTACCAGAATCCCTTTCTTTAACACCTGAGGGCATTGAGTACCTATCGAATATATATAGTACTTTTTCTTCTCGGTTTAGTGATAAACGAGAATGGCAGCGCCAAAAGCTCCACGGCCGATTTGTTCCATGATCTCGTAATGATCCATTCTCGGCTCCATTGCTATTAACTCTTTACTGGCTGTCCTCTTTTTTCTTGTATGTTTATAATAAAAAAACAAAAACAAAAGGAGCAGCGGAAAATTGTTTTGAAAACTCATTTTTCATTTTGACATATTTTTCTCCAAATCTCAAAACAGTTGCCGGAATCTTCCCTTCGCCACCAATCCTGCCGGTGCATTTCATCAATATTCAAACGACTCGTTTTGAAAATATCAGCATTTTTCAAAGTCATCGAAATCTTCGCCGAAGGTCGTAACCGCCTTTTTTTCACATTGCTGTTGAATTCTTTAAAGCCTTCTTTTATTTCACTCTCAGCACTATTTCGGAAAAACTATTGAAATGGTCACTTTGTTTTATAAGTATTTACTTTTGACTATTAAATTTTAAAAGTAATGTTTTAGTCACTTATATTTTCGGTTTATAACATGTTGATCATTTTCGTTATTGTTTTATAATGTACTGATCACTAACATGTCAAATATCTTTAGTTTGATGATGTGATATGTTAGTAAAAAGATTAATTTTTAATTAGGTAAACTACCAAATTGATCACTTTTACTCAATAAATTAAAAAAATACGTTTTGATCACTTATATCATTTATTTATTAAATTTTTGTCACTTATGTTATCGATTGTTACATTTTGATTACTTAATCTTTGACTCAGGGTCTGCGTGTTTCACATAAAACATTTTCTGAAAAACGTTATCGGTCTGAAAATTTAACTTAAGGTAAACTACGCCAATAGTCTCTTTTGTTTTCGGTATGATTGACTTTGGTCACCGATATTTTGTTGAGTTAATCGATCGACGAAATCGACCAATAGGGGGGGTGAATTGGCAATTAAAATTTTGTGGAAGCTTTTGCAGAAAATTGAAAGTAATTGCACAGCGATTTAGAGTGGTTCAACTTTCTCAATCAAAGTCTACGTCCACTACCTTAGCTATCCACACTAAGGATTTTCCAACAAATTCACTAATTTGTTCTTTCTTTTGAGGCCAAAGAGATAACCTTACAACACCCTCAAGAATATACCCCAATTCTTGAGAACACTCTTTCTCAAAGAGAAGATTACAAATTTGCAAACTTACAAGGAAATCCTCACAAGGTAGATTGTTTGCACAATTCTAGAACAAAGAAAAGAACAGTAAAAAATGAATACAATTGAGTACAAGTAGTGTTCTTGAAAGCAAAATGAATATTGAATGAAAAATAGGCTTGAAATGCTCAAACTTGAGGTTTGATGCTTTCTCTTTGATTCTCTCTTGATTCTAGTTGCTTGTTGTTTCTTGTTTTTGATCAATGGCTTCTAAGCTTGTTTAAATACACCTTCAAATGATTCTGAACGTTGGGGATGATTAGTGGAGTCAATAGAGCCATTTTAGTGTGAAATCTATTAATAAAACAGCTTGGAGCGTGGGGGGGGGAATCGGTACCCCCTCATGGGGAATCGGTTCCCTAAGTGTAAAATTCAAATATTTCGACCGTTAAACATAGGGGAATCGATACCCCCTTGGGGGGGAATCGATACCCCCTTGGGAGGGAATCGGTTCCCTCCGAGCATTATGTTTTTCTCGGAGCCAAACCATTCAGGGGGAATCGGTACCCTATTGGGGGGGAATCGGTTCCCTCTGAGCAATCTGGAATTTTTGGCTTTGAAATGGTTCAAAATATTTTGTAAAATTGTTTTGAAATTATTTTAAGTTTAAAACTTAATTTTACACTTGAGTAATGATTAAAAATGGCATTTGAAAGATTTGGAGTAATATTTTGATATTCGAATAATTATATCGAATATACTTAGAAAATCTTAAAATTCATTTATCTTAATTTGTTATATCGAAATATCAAAATGTTTTCAACAATCTCCCAATTTTTGATATAACAAAACATTTTAGTAATTTTAAGATTTTGAAATCAAGTTTTGAAATTACTCCCCCTTACTCTAACACTTCTCCCCTTTAAAACACTTTAACATTTCTCCCCCTTTTTATTAAATCAAAAAGACTTTTAAAAGATATTAATCAAGGTTTTGAAATCATTTAGCCAATTGATGATAAATATATATAGCTTAAGCTGCTAAGATCACAATCAAGAGAAACATTAGTCATTAGTTCCATAATCAATATTCATAAATAAATATGCAATGGAAATTGGTCATATATATATAATGATTCAAAAATTGATAAACATTAAACTGAAACATAAAATTCAAATCAAATATAGGTTCAAACATTCATAAACAACCAAAGTAAAAACAATCCAAAAACATTCAAAATGTTTTAACAATAATGCAAATATCCAAGTTCAATCCAAACAAGCAAAGCAAAGATCAAAGTTCAAGCATTCGTAGGAGGATCGGGAGGAGGGAAATAAGCTCGCATAGCTGTCGTTTCATGAGTGAGTGCATTAATACGAGTGTTGGTTGCTTCATTGTTTGCACGCATCTCCTGGAGAATTTCCAATTATTGAGCTTCCATAGTCGAGAAATGAGATTCTATGGAAGTGAAGCGAGAATCCAATGATGCATAACAGAAATCAAATGTCTCCATAAATGATTGAAAATATGGAGGCACTTGATCGTCTTGTTGAGCTTGTTCCTCGTGCTGCTCCGGCTCATCGTCGGCTTCGTCAATAGCTTGCATTAATTGTTCAAGCTCGGGATCGTCGTCAGGTTCTGGTGGAGCTTGTGAAGAACTAGCTCCCGGAGTATCCTCAGAGGATCGAACCCATTCATCGGTTTCTTTATTCTTTATCCATCCCACTCTCGTTAAGGAAAGAATATTAATTTGATTTTTGAGAGGAAATACGACATCTATACCAACTCTAAGCCCGGCTTTAGAAAATAGATTACTCAGAATGCAACCGTAAACTAGAGATGAACATAGTTTCTTATTAGGAACAAGATTTACGGTTTCAACAATTTCAGCAAAAATAATCTGAGGTAGGTTTATTTTAATATTGTTTTGGAAACAATGTAACCACCAAA